CTATTTCAGCCCTTACTGGGGACAAAGTGATGCTCTCTATTTAAAATAGCCTTTTCTAAGGTTCCCAGAGTCTCTTTCTCTCCATCTGCCTATGGATCTTTCCACATCTGAAGACTCATGTCTTCTTGCGTGCTTTTCCCATGCTCTCAAAGCTCTGTAAATTGATGTTAATGAGCAAGATTCGGATCTGGGTCCTCCTGTAACTGGTGGGTGCCACAACAATCTGTTAAGTGGACTTATATTTGAACTGCTCTTTTCCAAAAGTTTCTGCTGTGTTGCCAGGCTCTACACACACTGTATTAATTCAGGGGGCTGAATCTATTTAACAGCTTTCACACTTCAAAAGTCATTATCTGGTCTCTAAAGGTAACCACCTCAGCCGGTACAGGAATGGGCTGTTATCTACTGTGCGCGTGACAGTCCTCTGCTTTACTCCTCTAAATGCAGCAGCCTCTGCCTGTTTCCACCTAAAGGTACAGCCTTTCTAGTGTTCCGTAGCACTCATCTGATCTGTGGTCTGTGCTGATGGTAGTATCAATGAAGGGATCAAGGCAGCTCAGATGGTTCCAAAAAATGAGTCAATCCCCAACTCAAAAGCTAATTAGCTCCCCCAAAGTGATAATCTCAATGCAAAACTGCAAACTGTGCTGATGATGCTGGGAAAGGAAGAATTTTGTGCAGTGTGTCACTCATTTGCATGAGCTCATTATTCAGAGACAAGCTGTTAGAAAACTTGGACAATTTTCACCACAATTTCCCTTTTCTGTGGTTTTTCTCCTTGTACCGCACATAGAATGAAACAAGATTTCCACCCAAAAAGCATGAGACAAATTGGGAATACCATGTACCTTTGCAAAAAAGGCACTGCAGCTTCAAAAATTACCTTCTATTTCTTCCCCTGGAAAAGAAAATCATGCTAAAAAGCAAACAAAGAATGAGCTGATTCTGATCTCTTGAAGAGATATACAGAACAGAATAGTTCTACTCGAGGTTTTAAGAATTTCGTATTTTATCACTTTTGGCTGCAGTCGAAAAGTCCTAGTAGCAGTCTGGGTGGATAAATGGAAAAACAACAAGAAAATATTGCAAAACTCTGTTTGAAAAAAATACTTGTAATGTTGACTGGCTCTTGTGAATACTTTCCACTTCCAGATTAAGCTTTAAGCATGTTATTAAATATTTTGTGGCATTGGGGATTCCATCCAAAAGAAGACAGTTACCAGAAGAAGGGAACAAGACAGTTAAGCTCTTTCAGATATAGCGAACAGCCCCATGAGCTTTGGCCCAAACTCACTGGCTCTCCCCAGCCATATCAAGCGTCATTGCTTAGCTTTGTTATAAATGTGCTTATCTTCAAACGTGTACTGTGAAGGTATTGCTGTACTGCTGTATTGATGAAACCCTGGCTTATCGTATGTTGATCGAGGTCTTGAAGCCCATTCTATTAACTGTCTGCCCATTTTCACAATGTGTTCTTCATCTTGCTATGCAAGACGTGCACGCCACCATACCTTCTCCTCACCCCAGCCTCAGGAATACCTAGTTCTGCTCCTCTGTTTTTGAGACTCAGGCATATTTTTGTTTTAAATAATCTCATGATCAAAAAGGCAGTTTTAAACTGAGTGTTAGTTCGCATCAGTGGAAAGAAATGTACTAAATAAATGCATATGCTTGAATGTTCTGTGTTAGCTGTATGGCACTGTGGGGATAAATGAACTGGTGCATGTATTATTCATCACAGCTGAAGGATTACAGACCACGCAACCAGAATGGTTTCTGTAGAGATTCTGGTACCCTGCTCAGAGGCACCTCACAACTGACCAGTAAACCTGCTGGTGGCTAAAGCTAACCCATCTGTATCCAGGACACCTACCAACAGCCTTCTTCCAACTTTATCACTGGTAGGAGCATCTAAGAATTTACCTCTGTTTGCCTTTAGCATCCACAGAGGTCGAAGAAATCCTGTCGATCGGGGACCCAAATCCTGGGAAACTTCTTTTCTTCTTGGTCTCGGTCACCTCATTCTCCAGAGACACCAGCTCATCAAGAAGGAACAGTTTGGCTGCCAGGTTGGTGGCTGACTTCTCTTCGCTGGCAATGGGATGTGCTCCCATGCCCAGAGCAGCAGGAGGCTCCAAAGGCTGCAAAAGAAAGGGGGGATGTTTGCTTGCTGCTCAAGTTCCAGCAAAACCATTTTAACCAGTGTCACAGCAATAGTCCTATAAATACATAATCACTAGGATGCTAAACCTGGGCCAAAGTTTTAAAACCAAGTTCCTTCTGTGAAACGTGGCCATTTTCTACCCACAGGAGTTTGCCATAAAAAGTTGGGATTTTTTTTAATATAGAATTGAACTCGCCTGCATTATTATTGCAAGAATTATCAAAATTTATTACTTCACAAAGCCTGTTTTTGTAGGCCAGCCCACTATCCCTATCTCAGCAGTGTGATTAGCATCACTTATAGCATGAGCTGAGTAATTTAAATCCTTTTTAAAAATGCAATCACCATTACTAGACCCCAATATCCATCCTGATATTTTTCAGAAAACTGATTTTCATTTTTTAAATGAATGCTAATAAATAGTAATGAAAACTTATACAGAACTTTCCATCCAAAGCTGACAAGTTAATTAATTGTTATGCAAAAAATATCCCAAGATAAACTTGCTCAGCACTGACATTCAAAGAATTTATGCAGTAACACTATGTGGGGAGGAGGAAAGGAAAGAACAGTATGTTGACTTGACACAGACTTTTGACCCTTAGTTATGACATTAGGCTTAACACCTTTTCAAAACCAAACTCTAGTTTGCTATCTGGAATAGCTGAAAATATTGGGGTCTGTCAAGAGAGAAATGAAACAAATCAAAGTGAAACATTTGCTTTGCAAATAACAGAAAAATATAGGACAGCAGCTAGTCTACAAAAGGAAGCGTCAAGCTCAAATCATTCTCTCTTCAGATGAAATGTTTGCCTTCTTGCTCCACTTGATCTTCACGGAATTAGATAAAAATTTCAAATGAAAACTTTTATTATATGCTTTGAAGCAGGTTTTCCTCTCTCTTTAGAAGCACACCACTATATTTCTTATTCATACACAGTGGGTTTAGTACAAATGTAAAGGAAGCCATCGCATGGATGATGTAATATGCTTATATCTACTGCAGTCCAAACCATAGTTGTGGTGATGACATTTTCCACTACTGATGGGTGGCAGAACTGCTGATGGAGTGTATAAAACTGATCTTTATATAAGGAGGAGCACATGACCAGAATGATCACAGAAATGATGTAGCACTGTTAATACTTTTGTAAAGGATCTCATATTGTCCTCTGACTTTACTTTTTATGAGCCTCAAGTGCACTGAGCAATCCTTTCTGTTCCCTTTCAGGGTTATAAAACTTTCATAGAAGTTTGCGACAAAATTACGCCTTTAAAAAAGGCTGAACTCTCTGCTCTGGTTAGTGGGGATAGATATCTACAATAACGCTTGAAACTAGAAGGTAAAAAATAGCCTCTGCTCGAGCACTTTGTGCAGTCCCACTTACTTGGTCTTAAAAAGGATATAATAGAATTGTAAAAAGTAAAGAGACAGCTAAAATGATAAACAGAAGTAGTCAACAGTTTTCCTATGGTGAACCACTGAACAAAGCACAACTTCACAGACAAGCGAAGAGATAAGTCTGGGGACGGGGGTACAGCGGAGAGCAAAGAGGTGAATAAAGACCAGCAATTTTTTACTCAAGAAAAAGAGCTCCCCAGTCCACCCAGTGAAGTCACCAGATGGTGGATTTAAAATAAATACAAGGAGCTACTTTTTAAACACAGCACGTAGAAGAAGTGGAATGCATTGCCAAAGGACGTCACAGATACCAAGATTTTAAACTGTTTCAAAGACAAGTCCAGGCCTGTCAGCAGCTAAAACATGCCCTGGTCCAGCGCAAGTCTCTGCATCAGGAAGTCTCTGAAGATGTTCTGTTCTTATATTCTTTTCACAAAAATCCATCATTGATAGAGACAGGATACCAGGTCTCTGTGGCATCAGAACAGCAGCTGCTGCAGCACTGATGTGGGGAGTACTTCCCCCAAGCCCTATTTTCTATAACAAGTATTATTTTGTATAATCAGGGCATGCTCACTTGAAGACAGAGAGCAAGGTAGAAGGATCCATCAGTATTCTTCAGTACACATCTAACTTCTAAGCTGATCTTAAAAACCTATGTAAAGACCCTACAGCCAAACAGTGCTACTTTGATTAAACTTTTAGATCCTTGATGTTTTTATGGCATGAAACCGTTACATAAATACCCTTCCTGCCAGATCTGTTTTATGTCAAGATGACATGAAAAAAGAGAATGCAGTAGAGGTATTTTCAGGTGCAAGCTCTGCATATCATACTGGAGGACACGTGAGACAGTTCGCCCATTTCATCCACTGCTTTCCTTCACAAGCTTAGGCAAGTTACTTTGCTCCTTCCCTCTCCTTGTCTCTTCTGTCTCATTTAATTTGTAACTTTTGTGCAGGTGGTCTCTCGGAGATCTCCTTATGGTTTCTGAAAGCTGCAGACTTCTCATGCTATTATTTGTCTTTAAGAGGAAGAATTAAACCTTCCCTTTGTGTTATTGGAGTTTGCTCCCTCCTGCCGCCGCCCCCGACATCACCTCCTTCCCCCCTTCAGGAAGTTCTCTATCCAAAGTCACTGGACAATGTTTTAACACACAGAAAATCCCATGGTGCTTCGGGACAGGTTGCATGAATTTGAGAGAGACTTCATTCTGTCTGTCCTCCCAGAGCCATGCAATTTGCATCACTCTTTTCACTGGGGAAGTTGTCCTGCTCCTGCTTTGCCCTGACAGAGTCAATACCGACCGTTCACCTTCCAAAACAGTTTGGAGGCGGTGGTGTCTTCCGCACTCTGTGGCCAAGAACAACCGGTGGAAGAGCAGGGTTATGTGACAACCACCAGAAACATTCACCTACCTCTGGTGCTGCCTGCGCGAGGGGCACTGAGCTAGAGTGCCACCGCAGCAGGGTAATCACAAGGGCCAAATGCACCACAACAAGCTGGAACTGCAGCATCTGCAAAGGAGAACAATCTATTAATGGCTTCACAGATGCATTCCCAAGTTCCCAGAGGAACCTCGCTCCAAAGGTCTTTAAGAAGTGAAAGCAAAGGCAGATTCTGTTCCCATGGCTGTTAATATGTTTTATCTTACAGAGTCATTGCATAAAAACCAGATAGCGTCAGCTGAGTGCCCTTCACCTCTGGGTACAGAATCAGCTCCCTCCTCTTTGCTCCTTTACAGCCCTGCAAATCTTTTAATTCCTTTCTGCACAATGGGCCACTCCTTGCAGTGGCAGGAGTAATGAATGCAAACTTGTGTTAAAACCAGATGAACTAGACACTCACTTGTAAGCAGGGAGTCTTTGGCTCATAGCCACCCAGGTTGACCCTGACCTTCCCACATGCCGGACAGGTGCCTGAAGCTGTTACAGAAATCACATACCTCCCCAGCAGCATTTTGAAAGCAAGGCTGCATTTCACCAGTCCTCAACATGAGTTAATGGTAGCCACAACTTCCAGGATCTTCTTGGGATCCTGGAATAAAATTATCCAGCTCCCACACCTGGGAAAAATCTTACATGGGAATCCATCACTCAAACCGATGGTGTTCTGACCACGTGCCACAGCTGCAGAACTGCAGATGCCTACAGAGTCTTTAAATAATGCAGTGAGGGTCAAGTTTTGGGAGGCTCAGGATCAGGAAGCTGCTTCCTGCAGGAGTTTCTTTGGCAGTGGGTTTAGGTTACATTGTTTAAGCCCTTGTTTGGATCTAGCTGTTAAAACCTGACGTGCCTCTAACTCACCCAGGTGGGAATATTTCAGCTGATGTTAGTAAGAACTAGGCTGGGGCCTCTAGTGCCAAAGGTATCTGCTAATTTACTGATTACTCTGTCTCCAGGTCCTGCCCCAGAGTATAATTCAAGCCTGATTCTGCCATTCTTTGCTGACTCTCCGCTTGGCAAAAGCAGAAATAGAAAGGATGTATAAATACATTTCTATGATGTATGATAGTTGTTTTATCCTCTGTGTAGGAAATTTCCCATTAGATCAGGCGAGAACACATGGTAAAAAACATTTGGCTTTGTACTTTTTCCCACATTACAAAAGAGAAAAGCCACAAAAACTTTTGGAGTCCAGTTTTAAAAAGTAAAGATGTAACATTTGTAGTGTTGTTTCTTTAAACTCTGTTTCTTGCTTGGCTTTTTCAATATGTTCTGCATGTGCTTCTGTTATTTGCTTACCCCATTATATATCTTTTTTTTTCTTATATTGTCCATGAGGGAATCAGCAGTGAGGAAGAAAGCTGCTGGTTATTCCGTGAAGCAGACTAAGTTCACTGGAATCAAAGGACAAAGACAAAGCAGTAAGCCAGGTGGTACTGCTGTCTCTCAGTCCGAAGGCAACAGCCATTACAGTCAGACAAGGGTTTGCCTTGGTGTTTTTAAAGCTGTAACCCTCTACAATGTATATTTTTGTATGTGGGTGTGCATTGAAATTTGAAGTAGTAGTCTACTACCTTCACAGGTAACCACATCCTGATTATTTGGATACAGAGACATAAAAATAAATGGCAAGGTTAAAAACACATGTTTATTATGGTTTAAGGGCTGTGCTGGTATTCATTCAACCCAAAGACCAAAGAGCTAAAAATAGCAACTGGTACACTAATCAAAATAAACATTAAGACACCTGCAACACAAAAGACATTTGATTAACTGGTCAGAACTTGATGCCAGTGAAATTAGAAGCAGAGGAAATTGTAAGGACTTACAGCTTGGCTGTAGTTCCCATAGAAATTAGTAGCTAAGAAGAAATGTCACTGGTTTAAAGGGAGCAAAACTAAGTCCAGCAAGATCCTGTTGTGCTGATTTTCACACAGCGGTGTGACCAAGCTGGGAGAAAGAAGCGGGTTTGTTCTAGTGGAGCAGTTTAGCTCTAGAAAAGCATTTGCAAAACTAAGGGTGCAATGAGGACTATGTAAAAATAATTAAAATCCCACTGTCTTCTGCCAGTCTGGGACTTAGCTTTCCACCTGCAGCCATGTCATAGGATCTTATTTGTTAAAAGCAGTTGTTGCCTTTTTTTTCCCCTTGAGCTTACCTGTTGCAATTGGGTAAGCAGAGCCCTCCTGCCAAAAGGGGCTTTCCCAGCCATGCACTGGTTATTGCTTCACCCCATTCACATTTTACCTTGACCCATTCCAAGAGAGACCTAAAGCGAGGCTCGACAGTATTTGTTACTGAAGGAGAACAACCAAAGCTCTGACAACCACGTGGGCCTTTGCAAGACGCACGCTTCCCACTTGTATTGAATTTCCATCCTTCTTCTGGAAAACTCTTCACCACCAATTTCAGAGAGATAGGTCAAGGGATTGGGGTATAATTTCATGTCTTTAGTATCTCAGGGTCCGGTCTGGTGTTATCTGACATAAAATGTGGTTTACCCTTCACTAAATGTAATTGGAAGTCTGAAATTCAGACATATTTATGTGTTTTAGTGATATTTTAGCTTGAAATGTGTCAAAACTAAAATTCCTCATATAATTAGGTATCTTTGTTGCTGGTCCAATTAAAATAAAATTAAAGATAAAAAGAGAGAACATTATTCTACCTTATCAAAGCAGGATAAACATTCAAAACTTTTTCTTAGGAATCTGTGCAGAGCCATTTTCCAAGAAAAGATCACAAGAAAGCAAAATTTTTTACCAAACAGAAACTGTTAAGTCTCCAACATCAAACCAAAGGACTTAAAAGATGTTTTTCTTTTAAAAGAAAAAAACAAAAAACAAAATGACATCCTGAAGATAAGTGGGCTGAACAAACCCCAGACAGCATGCAATTCATCACCAAGCTCCAAACCCATTGCCTGTCAAAAATGGTAACAGCTGTCATTGTTCTTACCAATTTGAACTATCGTATTTCACATTACTGTGGAGATTACTCCACAAGCATAAATCACAAGAGCTTTATTTTTCTTGCTGGCCTGTTAGCAAGAGAACTGAGGCAAGACATCATGCCTTACACTGTAATCTTTCGCTTCGGCTGCCACTATACATTGATGACTGTGCTCTGCTTGTTGTTGCAACACCAGCACGGGACATGCCCAAGCTCACCTGCAAATGAGGACCTTGCTCTTGCAACGAGCACGTTGTGGCTGAGCCCAGAAGCCCTTGAGGTTTTGTGCCATACGCTCCCAAACTGACCTGATGCAGAGCCAAGGCATGACTGTCCCATAGGCACTGGGAAGCTCCTGGCAGTGCCCATTAAGACTCCAGTCCTTCTGCTGTATGAGCACTGGGATGGTACTGGTGAGCCTCCATCACCTGTTAGCCATGAGGAAGTCTCATACCATGCAGATTCCAACCAGCTGGGGGAAATCACGGCTGTGTCTGCAAGCCAGTTACTGATGTATTTTGTTGCTGCTCCAAAGCCACAAAATAGAAAATTAACTGCTGCTACCTATCTTAATCAAATGTACCGTTGAGTCCTAACATTGGCCTCACCAGCCTTGGATTGGACACCTGATGTGAATCTACCTTACGGCCAATAAAATTATGATGGATGAGTATCTTACCAAAAGAACAACTTATAAATAGTTTGTGTGAAGCTCTGAGAATAAGCCTGCTCTTGCTGAAAAAAATTTGCCCTACTTTTAAAAGTTGTAGGATAGATCCTCTGAGCATATTCATTACCACAAAGCCAAAAATATGCCCGTACCAGCAGTCCTAGTGATTTTAGAAACTCCTAAGGAACTATGTATATCTCAAGTGTAATTTTCTAGTCGTGTAAATATCAAAGAAAAGGGAGAAAAATCAAAACAAATCCCACCCTCAGAAAAAAAAGCAGAGTCCAAAAATAGGTTAGAGTGGTGTTTTTGCTCTCATCCCACAGATGAGATATGGAGGACTTCTCACATACTGCTTTCTAAAAAGATACTGAAGCAAGACTTTGAAGCATGGGACTTTGTGGCAAAATGAAATGTAAGCAGTCAGTGTCAGGCACTTTATGTTATTAGTAATGTGTTTCCTGGAGTAGGTATAGATTTTTAAACAATGTCATATATTTTATTAGATATATGGTACAGACACCGTCAACTTCTACAATGTAAATTTCCCTCTATTTTCAGTTTCCCGACTATGTAGATAAGTAGATGCAGGTAGGTTTCATCTGACGTAACCAGAGAGAACTTAAAATTCATGAACTTATGCAAGAGGCATAAGAGTAGTGATTTTGAGATAATGCCTAGGTATGTCTGTGTCCCAAATGAAACACTTTGTCTGACAGTATTTCAAGGCCAAAGTTGTTCCACTTTCTGAAACTGAAGTTCCTTAAAGGTTTCTCAAGAAGGCACGTCAGATTAGTCATTGCTTTTCAAAGTCTTCATTTCAATAATTGCATTTACTGTAACAATAAGATTTCCAGTGTTTGGTCCTGACGTGTTTTCATATCACCATGATAGTCATCTTTGCCTGTATTTTACTGAAGTATCTATTGTAAATGCTGACTCAGCTATTGATAGCTGCGCTTTTGGTAGACGCAGATGCAGTCAGAGGATGCTCAAGTATACAACTGTTCCTACCATCTGTACTCAGATAAAACAGATTCAGCGATGGCTTAGTCCCTGCAGGGCTTGACTAGACTCTGCACCAACCCTGCCCACGGAGGACGCGACGTTTGTGGGAGCAGCACAGGAATCGCACGGCTCATATGAAGAAAGGCTGAAAATGTGGCCCTCTAGTTCTCATGAGGAATACGGAAAGTGTACACATAAACACAGCCTTGCTGGGGTACATTTGCTTGACAGACACAAGCATGAATCAGGAAAAAATTAACTGATGAAGGCGGACAAACACTTGTGGAAGACCAGTCAGTCATGGTCCTCATCTCTTCATTTGAAAAAAGAGCATGAAACCAAATGGCCATGCAGAACAAACGAGGATGCTTTTCCTTAGAATGTGCAGGAAGGAGACAAGTTGGACATCCTGCAAAACTGACTACACTGTGTAATAAATACATTTTTAGCAACAGATTTTAGAAATTGAAACCCCCAAACTCACATCAATACCATAAAAGTAGGAGACTGTGAAGCAGGAGACACAAACAGAAGTCATAAAACCCATCTAGAAGCCTAGGGACTATTAAATAAGAAGGATGCTATGAAGTGTAAGAAAATATCTCTTAATGGGAAGAACCTATTTCCACCTTTCCTAAGTGAGATAGTTGAGCGAGCTATAGTATTCTTGGTATGCACAATGGAAAACAAAACATTATTAGACTATTCTTCATTGCCAACAAACTCTCAACCCTACACTATTTATCTATGTACTGACTGAACATGCCAACTTTTCTTAACATTTCTAACAAATTTACATTTAGCTTTCTTCTTTCATCTTTAGCATGAGAACTAAAAACTGTTCATTGTTAGAGCACCATTTTCAGCATTTGAAGTAAAAATAAAAAACCTTTCTATCAATAAAAATCAAGAAATACATTGTGTTTTTCTATATTCAGAAAAATCATCTCCTTTCTTAACAGCACTGGAGTGGTAAGTGGGAGTTCTTCATACCTGGAATGAAGAGTGTAATATCCAAATACGTTATCAATACAAAGACATAGGCCATTCAAAGTCCAGCAAAAATATCCTTCAAGATAAGGTCTTAAGAGACAATAATGGCATTGGAATTTCTTAACAAGAGACTCAAACAGTGATGCCAATTTACTGGATAAACACTTTCAAATGTTCTGAACAAGGATATTAACTGAAGAAGAAAAGTCAATTGCTTGGTGAAAATGCATTGCAAATGGAAATTGGAGAGTAATCTGTTTCTCTGGGTTGAAAAGGAAAGCTGCAATCACTTGCAATCTTTGTCAGGGTTAATCAAGAGAGTTCTTAGAACTGTTGTATGGTTCAAGTTTTTAATTTGCCATGTAAGAAGCCCAGAGAGGTACACTTGTCATTCATTCAAAGAGTGAAAACGAAGCCCTAATCTGCTGAAGTCAGTGTGGCAGGTATTTATAGATACTGAAGAACACCTGGTTGAGCCAGATATATTTTGCAGTTTTTCTCATAATTTACACCATAGATTTTCTTGGTTTGGGGTCGGGTTGTTCTTTTGGCTGTTATTCCTCATGATATTCAAAGCGTTTTACAAGAAAAGTGGGTTAAGCTGCATTTTGAATACAGGTGAGCAGAGACAGATAAATGTAATAATTTGCCCCAGGCTTCCCGAGTGAATCGGTGGGCAGGGGCACAGAACGTCCCTGCGGTTCCTCAGCTTTCAGCTCTGCGCTCCCCATGACAGGTTGGTCATTCCAAATTGAAAAGCCAAGTAAGGAAAGCTAAAGGCACTGTGTACTTGTGCTTCAAAAATTAGTGAATTCTGAACTTTACTGTAGCCTCTGGACATCTAAACCAAAGGTTATTCACATGTATTTACTTGTACAGCTCCAGTCTGGGAGGCAAAAAGAAACAGTGAAATAGTTTTGAAGCCAGCATGGAGAAATTACAATGACTATCACTGAATCAGAGTCTGCCTTCGTTTACAGTGGTACAAAGCTGAAGTAATCAGATCACTGGATAATGATAATTACTCTGTTAGTGTAGGAATGTTTTGCAGGGTTATTCTATTATTGCAGGAATGTGGCAGAATCTGGATCAATATTTATCTAATATGGGGCATAATAAAACCCTTTTGCAGAGCCATAAATTAAAGACTTTCCCTAAATCATTTATCTTGTGTTTTACAATATATTACATGCAGCAAACTTGTCTACCACATATGGTATTTAGTAATGCAAAGGAACTATTCTGTCATAGCTCCTCAGCTTATTTTAAGAAGTAATATACATTTGACAATAACATGTACAGAGGAAAATCCATAACAATATAAACAGACAGCAGTTTACTGCAAAGCACTGCAAAAGCATGAAAGTAACTAGTCACTGTTGTAAAACGCACTGACACATCTTGTTTAAATATTGGCTTATTAACTGAAGGAAATAAGTTTCCACTGAATATTATTAGTTCAGTTTTAGTACCAAAAATACTAGGCGATAGGCATCTTGTTATCTTAATCTCAAACTGGAAAAAGAAGCTGTGTTTTTCCCATCAGACGTGGGCATGTGTATACCTTCTGCATGCCTGTTAATACAAAAAACTTGAAAAAAAAAATTAAAAGGAAGAAAGCACAGAAGGGAAGAAAGCTTCTGTAAACAGAGCAGAAGACACAAAACATCCCCAACCCATCTCTGTCCTCACTCCTCTTACCTTGCATTGGATACAAGCAATTCCAACCTTAACGGTCCTGCTATGTTCTTCGCCCTAACTTATCCCTAATGTTCAGCTTTCTTTCAGAGTTTTTATAGTCTCTGCTGTAGGCTACAAACTCCAATCCCTGCCTTTGCTTTCTCTTACATCATTTCTAAAGATTTTCCACTGATCCTTGCCCTAAACCTTTCTCTGTCCTGCACTCTCACACACATACTTGCCTCACATTTGTTATATTTATTGCTCTGATCAAGATGATTAGGTTATAATTAAAGGTCTAGGTTTTTGTTGTTGGTTTTTTTCTTTTTTTCCTTTCAAGATTCAGACAGCCATGGGAGTGGAAAGATTTTCGGCAGCATCACCGTTCCTCTAGGCTCTCACTTTTGCAAACTGCAGTACAGAAACCTGATGTCCTGAATTACTATTTTTTTTAACTTTATTTCTCGGGGACAACAGGAATAACTTTAGAAGGACTGCCTTAACTCCAAGAAGAAATTAATTAGCGCATTTTTAGTAGACCAACACTATTGTAAGATAAGCATTAGAAAAGGAGTGTGTTTTGTAAAGCAAGTCACAAGAACTTTCGGACACTTCATTTCAGTTACTGAAATGATTGTAAAGTGTGAGCTATGAAGCTGCCTGACTTCCCTAGGCAGTACCAGAGGACCTATTTCTTTCCCTGTTTGCCTCACTAGCAGAAGTCTATTTTCTCTTTTGTCCCTTTTTTTTAATCTCAGTTTTTAATTGATTCACACAGCAATTGTAGACCCGGTTTTGGGTCTAAAATTCCAACCTGTGCAGACTCCTTAACAGTTAATTCATAGTGACTTTGTTCTCTAAACAGCACTTTCAAAATAGTTTTTACTCTGACTTGCCAAAAGCTCTTCCTACAAGCAAAGGACAGTAAAAGGAAATTTCAAATGCAGCTTTGCAATAGGTGGGAAAAAATTGCCAGCCAGGGAGCAAAAGCTTTGATTTCATCATCTGTCTTGATCAGAGTGATTAGAGAAAGACAAGAGTTTAATCATATTGTAACACAGCTCATTTCCCAGATGAGGATGGTCACAGAATTTTGCAGAGCTGACATGAAGTGCCAAATCAGGATAGTTCACTGCAAAGTATGTTTTTCCCACACTCCCTGACTGAGGTATCAGGGAGGGAAAAAAAAGTCAATGGAGAATGAGAGGCTGGTTTTGATCACGAGCACAATACAAGCGTACAGCCCCAGAGAACAAGGAAACACAAAACAAGTATTTCTATAGCATCTCTCAGTACAGGCAGATATGTGAGTATGGCCCAGTGTAGGGCTGCAAAAATATGCATTAGCCACGTGAGCACCCACACCGACGTCAGGCTGGAGCAGACAGGTTGGGACTCTTTTCCACTGCAGGGGACAACAGAACAGTGACGGCAGCTGCAGAGGTCCAAATGGGCTCTGTGGATACTAGAGCTGCAGCAGAACCAAAAGGGCAGAGCCAAACAACGCCAGACTGCTGAAACACAGCTCCAAACGCTGCCGCTAGAAGAGAACTGGAACCGTGCTCCATTTTATAGTGCTACCTGCATTTAGATGGAGGCTTCCTGCTGGAAGTCCAAGGACACAGCAGTACTTGACTGATACGTATAAAACATGCGAGCAGGATCTCAGGAAAGAGATAACCAAGATCTAACCGCAAGATATTGTCAGATTTATGGGGAACCTTTGATACATATGACCACGAGGTGTTGCTGACCAGCTGCTGCAGTCCTAGGCGCTCAGTTTCTTTCTCTTTTTTCTGTTGGAAAGACACAAGGTGGCACTCACAGGCGTTTACTCCTGTCGGGAGTTTTTACAGGTCCTATCTCAAGCTCTTTAAAGCAGGACCTCTGTAGGGCTCCCTTCTGCCACCACATTTGGTGTTGATGAGGCTGGTAGGAGGCATGGGCTGTGCCACTGTGAGTAAGCTGACGACAGACAACGGAATGTAGGCATTTCAGTATTTCACAACACAGGGTGAAGCCTGGAGGATAGCCGAGACTCAGCCAGCTGGTGCTTAGCACCTCACAAGAGTGAGTGGGATGGTGGGCTGCAGAAAAAGCAAGAGGAGAAATGCAGCCATATTGTCATCTCCTTTGACTCTAAGAGGATGTCTAAGACCTGGTACTAAAATTTGCTTTTAGCCCTCCACTGATTGGTGATCCTATAACAAAGCTCCAGCCACTTTTGTACCACCTGGACCTACCGTAAGGTTGTAGTTCTTCCTTTTAGATAAGTCATACGCACTTTTTCTATTTCAAAATAAATTTATCACTGTGCTTTTCCTACAAAAGCATACAATCTGAAAGATTTCAGACATGGATGCTGATACGCACAACTATCATCATCTCTTGACTAGGTGTGAAAGATTCAAATCTGAGTAATTAGCTATCTTCATGGGCTGCTACTGACCTTAGAATAGGACATATGTTACCAGCACAGTGTGTTTTTTTTCTGAAAAGAAAAAAAAAGGAAAAAAAAGAAAAAAAAGAAAAAAAAAGAAAAAAGGGAAAAAAAGGAAAAAAAGGAAAAGAAAGGGAAAAAAAGGAATAAGAAAAAAGGAAAAGAAAGGAAAAAAGGGGAAAAAAAAGAAAAAAGAAAAAAGAAAAAAAAAAGACTACAGTGTTAGAGCGTTAACATTTAATTTCCTGCTCTAAAGTAGCTTAGATTTAGCAACAACTTACAGATACCTTTTTGACACCTTCTGGAGAAGGCCGATAAGGAACCTTCCCAGATAATGAAAAAGGTGTATGGTGGTTATTTAGCTGGCAGAGCACCCAAGGAACAGATATCTTCAACGCTACTGTGGTTTAATTATACTTACAGTATAATTGAGTTAGGGCAACCAAGAGTTTGGAAGGAATCTTTATGGTCTTAACCATAAATGAATAAACAAACATAATGTGATTTTCTCAACTATGAAGACAAAAACAAAGAAATTGGAGGAGGTAAGGACACAAGACATCAAACTCTCTTTGTTACCATCCAAGAGAAAGACAAACTTGCCTCCCTGCTGCCCTGGTGATCTTCCGAGTATTTTCTGTAATTCTTTCAACATTAGTTTGCAAATCAGTTGAGCTGGCTCAATGTTTTCCTTAATTCCTTTAGTAGACAAGTTCTTATTCAGTGAGCAGGAGTTAGCAAGGGTTCACTTGTGTAAGTGTTGAGCAATCTTGCTCTTCATCAGCCTTGCCTGTAGAAACTATATTTGGGTTTGTCAGACCTCGTCTTTAAAATCTTAATAATGACACGTGAATACAGTGACACATGCTTGCTTGTTTTTCTGTATCATACTTCTAATCTTTTTCTTCTCCCACTAAAACATGTACCAGTACTGTTAAGATCACTGTGGTCTAAGCCACAGAAGTATCCCCCTTCTGTCATTAAGTTGTCCCATGGGAACTCTACCTTCCAATTATGTCACCGTTTCCATTGATCACTGATTCCTCGTACAACGTAGCACATTTGTCATTGATAAATCAACATGAATAGTGCTGGGTCCAGAAGGCGTTTTGGCCAAAGCTGCAGACCTATCCTGAGGAATTTTCGATTGAGCTGGCAGGGAGTAAAGGCATGTGTCTTGATACATTCTGATTGCTAGGATTATTCATAGTTTCACTGAACAGTGAGTGTGTCATTAGAGGTAGTCTAGTTCTGGGTTGAGTGTGGGAAATAAGGACAACATTGAAGTTAGAAAAAGTGGAAATTTTTTTCCAGTTTTGAAAGGTTTGCCCCAAAATTCTAAGAAATAATCCAAGAACTTTTTTTTCTTCAAGTGAAAACTATGAGGGGTTTTTTTATAAAGAGCTGATCTCTACAAGTCAGGTGCTCAGCTGATACTGATTCATATGGCTCAGAGATAAACAACTGAGATATTCCAAATTATGGTGCCTTCAATCTATTTTTATTCCTTGAGACAATAAACTCTTCTGGTAAAATTGGCCCAATTGCATTAACAATGTGCATACATGTTTTCCAATTAAAGGTACATTCTACCTTGGAAGGAAAAACTATGTTAAACCAGCTCTTTTTAAATTGGCAAGCTATGAAAGTAGCTTTTGCTGTGTCACTTCCATTTAAGATGACTCCTTGCAGCTAGATAGATTTTGAGAAGCAAAACCCACAAAGTGAAGGTAGCATATGAAACTGAAGTCAGTAACATTCTTCAGGAATGTTAGGCTTCCTACTAGCTGTTTCTATATATGTACTTTTAAAAAGTCCTTTGTGCTAGAATTCAGTGCTCGTGATAGGAGCTGGGTCATGACATCGAAGAATCCACAAAAAGCATTCGCAAAACAAAGCAAAAATCCCAAACAAGGACAGTTTATTGAAATGCACGCTTTTTCTGTTAACAGTCGTGCTATGAGGTAGAAGGACGTGTTTGGAAATAAAAAAAGATAGTTTATCTTTTGTGCCCATGCCATTGGCTCCCAGCCCAAGATGGCCGTGAGGAGTGAAGATGGCCAAGAAGAGTGACAGGGCCTTTTGTGCTACGGACGCAGTGGTCCACAGGCTAATGGATGAGAGGCAACAAAATCATACAAAGAGGTCTCAAAGTACTAAGCAAATAGTAATAATTCTGGGCCAATATCAGCCTGGTCCTAATTCAAACCAGCAACACAGAGATCAAAATCAGTAGAGTGTGTTTCCACCCCCTCTAGCTACACTACTTGGAGTCAGCGCTAAATATAAAGATGACAAACCAACAACCAGCCCCATCTTTCTG